TATACATATATATACATATATATATATACATATATATACATATATATACATATATATACATATATATATATACATATATACACATATATATGTAAAGAAAATATATTTTCTTTAATTTGAACATGACGTGCTTCCGACCCTTAGCGCGTGGTTCGACTAAGGACCGCTAGATGGAATGACTGGTACGATTGTTGGAAGAAATTTAGAAACGCATGAGTATAGATTGAAAATTTATAAGACAGATTTATTGTCATTGAAGTAAGTAGCGTAAATAGAGAAGCGGTGGTAGTAGGCTTGAATAGTCGTTTCTCTGTTTACAGATAAGAGCAAAATGTTGTAAACAGTTTTGGTATAATAATGTGAATGATGGTTGATAAAAATTAATAAAACTCCACTCTGTTTACAGGTAAACATATTTTAGCTAAATATTATCCGGCATATATATATATATATATATATATATATATATATATATATATATAGAGAGAGAGAGAGAGAGAGAGAGAGAGAGAGAGAGAGAGAGAGAAAGAGAGATAGTTATATTAGTACGACTCCAGGGTAGCATTACATGAATTGCCGCCCAACTTGCGTGGTTGCCTTACAATACATGGAGCGGAGCGGAATATCCTGGCCGTGCGTGTCCAGGGTTCGGCGAGGACCTGTCGGTGCACCGCGCGCTGGTGGCGTTCCTATCGGAGGAGCTGGCGGAGCTTGCGGCGCCCAAGTCGCTGGGGTGGGACGCGACGCTGGCGCGGGTGTGGGCGCAGCGCGGCCGCGTCGTCCTGGCCTACGACCGCGCCGACGTCATCGCGTCGCTGCCCACGGCGCCGCTGTGGCCCGCGGTGCGCCAGCTCTGGGGCGACGTGCGCACGCTCGACGCCCTCCGGGACTACCTGCACCGCGTCATCGGCAGCGGGTGAGCGCCGCCGTTCGCCCTTGCTCATTCCACGCTATTCAACTATACATGTCATTAGTCCCCATGAGTGTTGTGCATGTTGTTTTGCTCGAGCGACGATTCTTTGTTACTCCACGCGCGGCAACTACGGAGGTCATTCCTCCCCATAAGTGTAGTGCATGTTGTTTTGTTCGAGCATTCATGTTACTCATTCCGGCACCTACGGAGGTCATTCGTTCCCAAAAGTGTAGTGAATGTTATTTTGCTCGGGCGACGATTCTTTGTTACTCATTCTACGCGCGGCAACTACGGAGGTCATTCGTCCCCATAAAAGTAGTGCACGTTGTTTTGCTGGAGCGACGATTCGTTGTTATTCATTCCACGCGCGGCAACTACAGAGGTCATTCGTACCCATAAGCGTAGTGCATGTTGTTTTGTCGGGCGACGATTCTTTGTTACTCATTCCACGTGCGGAAACTACGGAGGTCATTCGACCCCCATAAGTGTAGTGCATGTTGTTATGCTCGAGCGAGGACTCTTTGTTACTTATTCTACGCGCGGCAACTACAGGTCATTCGTTCTCATAAGCGTAGTGCATGTTGTTTTGCTCGGGCGACGATTCTCTGTTACTCATTCCACGCGCGTCAACTACGGATGTCATTAGTCCCCATAAGTGTAGTGCATGTTGCTTTGCTTGGGCGATGATTCATTGTTACTCATTCTACGCGCGTCCACTATAGATGTCATTAGTCCCCATAAGTGTGGTGCACGTTGTGTTGCTGGGAGGCCGATTGGTTGATGGTTAGTTGGTGGGGCAGGGCGTCGTCGCAGCCGTCGGCGCACGCGGCCATGGCCGAGCTGACGCCCAACGCGTGGGACGTGGTGCTGGACCAGCTGGGCGGGCTGCGCAAGATGGCGGACGCCGTCAACGCCGAGATGACGGAGCTGCTGCGCGACGAGTGGGCGGCCAACACCAACGCCTTCGCCGTCGACTTCGTGCGCGGCACCGACGTCGTGCGCGTCGCCGTCGACTTCAACCGCCACCGCGCGGAGCGCGCGCGCGCCGGCCGCACGCGCGCGTAGACGCCGCGTGGCGTCCGAATGGAATTACGACTCCGCTTACAGTGGTCTTCTGGGGACTAACATTTCCGGTTCACTATATCAAGTGTCAAAATTAAATGGAGTTTCTCCATAACGATTGATTGTATTAATATACAGAGACAGGGAAATGCATAAACAGCACGAACTGAAAATTTCGGTATCTTCATTGGTCCTAAAAAATCAATTATTTTCAATTGTTTGTTTCGTGCACTTTTTATTAGTAATTTCTCTTTACCAAAATATCGTGCTCTCTCCATACTTGACTCTGTATAGTCTTCAGTGTCTACGTATCGTAATGCAGTATTAGGGAGTTTTAGCGCCAGGCGTAAGGAGATGTCCTTACACTCTATTGATCACGTGACTAACGCCTTTATACGGTCGTAATGAACAACGTTCACAAGAGTTTTAGCAATTGCGACGTTGCGTTATGCATTGTATCAAAGGAAGCATTTCAAGTGATGAACAAAGGAATTGCGTAATACATCAAAGAGTATAGGCTAGTGGTGAGACAGTTAAAACACGTTACGAGTCAACAGAACAACATATATACATTGTGCATGGAGTTTTTAGTTTTTGTGACCCTTTGTGATGAGTATGCAATCTGGAGTTTTGAATCTGCTTTTCTTGAAATTATAGGAATTACCTTAAAACAGCGTTCGTTACGAGCATAAGACATAACCTATCCCGAAGATATAATTTGAACTCCTTTTTCGCGAATTTCTTTCCTATCACCTCTCCAACATATCCCGTTAATTCTTGCCAGCGTTCTAAAGGTAGTAAGGAATAATTGTAACTGCCTCACGTACGAGAATGGGTTTACCAGAGTTGGAAAAATTCAACTTTTCCTGTTTTTAGGCGGCCATTTTGCCGCTAGTAAGATGACCGTAGTGACTCCCACAGGCGTGCACTATTTATGAAGGTATAAGGTCGTACGTTAGGCCTAAGGTATGTGATTTCATTTATGATTTCAAGGTCCGTCACGTGACTATTAGTGCATAACGCCGCTACCTTACGTGTGGCGCTATAACTCCCTACTAGAATGCAAGCGACGTTTCGGGGTCACGTGACGCCGGCGCTCTAACCTAGGAAAGAGCGACTCGGTGTTTGCACATTCTTCTTTCTTATTTCAGTGCTACCAAGAGGCCTCTTGGCCCGCTCAACTTTCTGCCACACCTTCCGGTGTTGAGCCGTCTTTTTCCAATTCTTGATTTCCATTGTACCTAGACGTCCATTCCACAACTTCGTCTTTCCATTTTGTTTTTGGTCTGCCTTTACATCTCGTAAGCTATCCGTTTCCATTCTGTTATTTTCTTAGCGATTCTATCTGGATCCATCTTTTCTAGATGTCCGGTCCATGCAATTCTCCTAGATTTTATTTCTCTAACAATATTTTTTACTTGATCCGTTCGCCCAATTCATCACATGTTTTCAATCACCAGATATCACCAAGTCTCATAGGGCCACAGATATTTCTCAAGATCTTTCTTTCAAATATACTTCATTTTTGTAGACTCTGTACATTATTGTCACCTAAAATTAGGGGACAAATGTTACGAAGAAATGTAACAAATCTATATGAACAAACTTATTCCGAGTTTCTCAACATTCTTTTATTCTGTTAGTCTAGTTAGTGTTGAGAGCACGTGCTACAGCGCGCAATATGCAGCAACACTGCCTCCCCCCCCCACACCACCACACCCAAATGTCAACTAAATTATAATTGTATTCGTCAGATAGCTATATGCGACATCTACAATCTACATCGATATTCAAAATAAAACATTGGTGTTTGGGATGCACCATCGGCAACAAAAAATGGGTGTTTCTACATAAATATCGATAATCGATATTTTAACAAGATCGATGTATCAAACTCTAAGAATCAACCAGAAAATATCTGTGTATTGGCATTAAAACGAAATCCGAGATGAAAAGATCACGACGAAAATCATTAAGGGAACAAAACACGTTTCTTCAAAAAAAAAAAAAAACAATATTTATTTTAACTATTAATAAAAAATGCTCAAGTAAATTCAACATATTTAAAATAAAATGTGACATCAGTTTTGATAAAATGTTATTCAATGTAAATAAATAAGTTATTTGTTTTAATTGTGTTAAACTTCATGTAAATTAAACCAATACATTTTATTAAGGTTATTAAGATTTCAACTTTATTAATAACCCTGTCATTTGTATGTCTGCCTGCTACGATTGTGTGATGTGATGTTTATTGTTGATGGTACTCTGACGAAACTGAAGAGGCAGGAACAATGAGATAACCTCCCCATAGGTACAAGTCCTATCTCTACAGTTACCGTCAGCTATGTCAATGTTTAAATAAGCGAATACTTTCCTTATATTACTTTTATTAATTAGTATTTTAAAAAAACTAACTCGCTCTAATTTTGGAGTTGTCAAGAGACAACACAAAACCAAAAAAATATTGACACCTGATATCGGCTTTTTAAATATCAGTGAATCGAAGTATAGAAAATTTCGTTTCAATTACAGCTAAATCGGGAGTAAAATACCAATATTTATGCTCATCCTCAGTAATGCATCAGCTGTAAAAAGGATCGTCAATATTGAAAAATTCACAAAATTGCGATTTACATTTCTATCAAAACAGTACCTATATTTTGTCTTTGATGACATGAATTATTTACTAGATTCAACTCACCAGCGGCTTAAGCAGAACCAGCGACTTTTGGAATAACAGAATACATTGAAAAAATGCTGAGTATGTCTCCGCAAAACATTTATTCATTTTTGGTAGGACTCAACGGTGTTGATATTTTACCCAAGAAATTATCATGCCGTCAATTGTTAATCCGTCAGTCGATTAATCGCCCCAATATGATAAACACGAAGTAGAAAATAATTTAATAAAGACTAACAGCCTACAACTGCAAAAATGCTGCTGAACAAAATAAAGCAGAATTGGTTTTTCAAAAAGTACCACGCACGCTGCACAAGAATAACAAATTATATACTTTCAAACATCACTGCAATAAATTAAATACATAGAAAACCAGTCTTCCCAAACACTTCAATACCATAGTATGATATACAGACATGCAGTTCTTTACATACTACCAAGAATATAAAAAAAGTTGCAGTTCCATAACCCAACACTGAATTGCAAATATTTATTGGCTGGCGGTCTCTTCATTGGAGACTTGCTGTCGAATGACGTCAACTGTGTCGTTAATAGTGAGGGACTGAATGTACTGCACAGAACTTTACTAGTACACATACTTTCTCGCATTCTTAGTAACTTTTGCAATTTGATTGTCATGGTCGATTTCGACCACACCAAAAAAGAAAGACTCTTTCCAATGTAACACCTCATATCGAACGTCTAAGAGCCGTTAAAAGCCCGCATCACGGCGGAAAACGCCATTGGCTTTAACTGCACTCGGAATTTGTAAATAACACAACACAACGGAACAGGGCGGTTTTAACGACTTGGGTCCCTTGCGCCTAAGTTGATTTGGGGGCCGCCTATTCTTAATTTCACCTATCTCCTTCCCCTCCCTCCAATTTCGATGCTGAAATATAAAGAAAATACAATCAATTCCCATTGTATTTTTTATTTTTTTTTTATTTTTAAAAGATATTTTGTACTTCTTGGTGTTTTAATTTAACATTATTCAAACAAACACTTTAAACATTATATATAAGTAAGGAAGAATAACAGATTGATAATTACTTTGAAAAAATTTACAAATTAAATTAATATAGTTTTAATTTTTTATTGAATTGTGGAATATAAAATTGAAACGCATCAACCAGCAACATTCTATATTATAAATACTACTCAATGATGTGCGACACATCACTCCATTATGCCATGTTTTTGAGTACAGTTTAATCATACATCACTTTTTATGTTTTTTAATTTTATTTTTGGAAAAATTTCGTAACAAATAATTTTTTTACATACTATTGGGGGCCCTGGGTTCATGCTTAACATGGCATTGCAACCGAATAACACCAATGGCACACTGTATGCACGAATATAACACAGCAATAACACAGCCATTTCACAGCAACCCCAGGAATTCATAGGTCCACCAAAGTTATATGGTTTTTCAAAGGTTTTAATTTTTTTAAGGCTTCAGCTTGTTTAGGAAGCTCAATCTCATTGATATTTTGAGGTGATTTTTGTTGAAACTATGAGGCAATTCATTTGAGAAATTGAGTAATCAAAGTGTCTTTGGCTGTGGGTAAGAAATGCAGGACTCTTCACTCGAAAACTGAAGATTCAGAATAAATGTAAATATTTGTGGCAATGTAAGTCATATGTTGTAGATTAATACATTGCTATGTTATGAAGATATATCAACTATCATTCAACATAACAATTAAAAGATTTTGTCATTAAATATAAATTTTGATGCAAGAAAGACATGCATTTTTTTCTTTTGCAGAAAATGTATTTGAAAAAAATTTTTGGTTTAAATGGATGTACATTTATATTATTGGATAAATCAACTCATTACTTTAGCAAAATTTTCAAAAACGTCAATAAAATGAAAATTGAAACAGTATGTTCAAGATCCAGCTGTTGGTAATGCTAGGGACAAACTAGTACTCCCCTCTACTAGAGAGGGCTATGCAAGGGATCATTAATACCTACCATGATACTGCTAGGGCTCTTGAAAGAAGAGATAGTGAATAAATTTAGAACACGATTGTCACTGACATGTGTTATACTTGCATTGTGATTCACATCAGGTACAAACGAAATAAATATATCAAAATAGGGAGCCAGGCTTGATGTCAGCACAATATTTCGCAATGATAGTGCCAGAAAATATTTCTGTATGCAGTTTTGCAAGTTGTTTTGGCCATACAACAATTTTCATTTTGACGAATACACTACTCACACTTACAGACAAAACTCATTATAATTTTGTGAAAAACTAAAATAAAAGTTACATATTACAACATTTTAAGCTGTTCCTTAAAGAAAATTGTTGATTAGATCCTCAATGAGCTTTTCAAATTTAAGTGATACTTCTATACATAGATTAAATTAGTTAACACCAACAAATAAGAAGAAGATTTTTCATAATAAACAATGCATCGAAGCCTTAGTTGGGAAAGAATGCAAAGTGACAAAAATTGGTTTGCAAGACTGTATTTTACCTAATCATTGCTTACGTTTTTATAATTGAATGAGCAGAAAGAGATAATAAACTGTAAGCCACACTAATTGCATTGCCAGTCTGGATAGCCGAAGTCACTAAGGTTGAAGGTCACTGCCTTGGCTCGAAAGGTTGGATATTCAAATCCTGCCCTAGGCATCATTGTGTGTGTGTATGCACGTTGTCCGTATGAGTGTTTCCCTTACCGTTAACTTGAAAGATACCAATGCTAAAACAATTACAGTAGTCGCTACTCGACCAGAGAATTAACAGAAAGACCTGAAATAAATAAATAAAACTAATGAAGTTTTGAGATACCGTTCATTACGTAAATTTGGCATGGTAAATTGGTACTGTCCCAGAAAACGTTTGTATATTATACTACAGTCAGCTAGGAAAATATAATTTTTCAATTCAGAATGAGAAGTGAATTGCTCAGAAAGTTAAACTGAAAATTGTGGCATAGGCTATTTCACTGATAATTTCTTTTGTTTATCAGATTTTTTAATGTTTCATGTGTTCCTGCAACAAATAACCAGAATACTATTTTCTATTTCAGAATCAAATGAATTTTTGAATTTCGTAAATAATTTTCTCATACCTACACATTTCTTTCCAAGAATTCTGAAAGTATAATACATTTAGAAAATTTTTCTTCACAATATGTCAATTCAGAATTCCATTTCTAGATATCATTTTTCTAATAAAAGACCATATGTTGCCAGACTCATATTTTACAACAAGCTTTTGACTGATTTGCATGTTTTGTTTGGTAAGTGAATTGCCAAAGGATGAAATAGTTTCAGCAATTTCTATTAGACCTTCATCGTTTTGGGTATTAATTGCTATCTAAATGAGAGTCGAACTAATGAAGATTGAGGAAATTGTCCAAGTTAAAGTTCATTGTGTATTTCAGATAATGATTTATTTTATACGAGAGTTTCATTATTAGTCACATTAAATGATTCAAGTGTGTACAAAATAATTGTATCTATGAGATGATATAATGATATTTTGCACATAAAAATAAACTATGTACAATAAAAGATTTGGAACTGGAATTATTTGTTTAGTTCAACTTTTTTCCCCAAAAGTAGAAATTTCTACAAACAGTGCCGTCATTATTCTATTTACACATAACACACACTAGCACACCTTACAAGCACTGTTATAAATGAGGAATATAAACCTGAAGGATTTAAGTTAAAGGAAATCTCACAATGCCAGATTTCAAATTTGATAAGCAGAACGTCCTTTCAAAACTGAAGAATTGAATTCTCGCTCTGTAAACACAAACAAACATCAATTATTAGTTGATTTAAGTAGGACATGGAGGATGAAAAAAAAAAATTTCAAAAGGCTTAACACATCAGACCATGAAGACAATTGAAAGATTTACATTAAAGAATACTCAGCATATATAGTGAACCTCTGCATGTAACAACCCACTGATTGCCAAAGAAAATAAATAAATACTATCCAAGTCAACCTGGGGAGCTGCGATCATTGAGATAGTAGTGCAGAGATCAAAGGCCAAAGGTTTTAAATTCACCTTGAGCGTGTTTGGTTGGCATCGCAGGGCTCTCCCAATCACCACCACGTACCATATGTACGTAGTTTGGTTAATCATGAAACCAATCTGAATAAAGCATCTTTTTGACACTACACTGTATCAACCTTGGTATAATGAAACAGTTCATTAAGGCTTTAAAAGGATGGAAAGTGCTTTAAATGAATTGGCTCAAACTGTCCTTTACTTTCAGACGTCAAGCTTAAAGAAGGTATCTTTGTGGGAATTCAAAATAAGAGATCTGATGAAAGATGAAAACTTCAAACATTTAATGAATAATGAAAAAAGTGTATCGCGGTCATGTCAATAACGTTGCTGTGCAGTTTTTAAGGAATAAAAAAAAAATCTAGATTTTTTAAGTATAGTGGATGAAATGCCAATTGCTATGAAGAATTTAGGATACATAAGCATCAAACTCTAATTGTTCCACAACCACCTGATTTCTTCCCTGTTGATTTGCGAGATTTCAGATGAAAGTAGAGAGAGATTTCATACAGATATGAAAAAGATAAAGATTGGAGGCAATATTTTATGAGTAAAAGACAGCGTTAGCAACGTGGATCGCACAGTGTAAGTACATTTTTTGTCAATGTGAATATGTCAAGTACTACTTGTATATATATATATATATATACAAGATTCAGATTTGCAGGGTTTGAATTAGCTGGTTCTACTGTGCCAGGTTTCAAATTACTTTAAAAAGTGTAATTCATAATCATGTTATACAAGTTTGATTGAATCTAAAACGCTAACAAATAAATCCTAGCTCTGATTATGACAAATGTTTCACATTCCTAGTAAAACCACATCTTACTTGTGAAGTTATCTTTTAATTCTGATGGTTGATTTCAAATCATTTGAGCGAATACTGTGTAGACCGAAATTCCATTTTTCTCTTAACATGAAATAATTTTTTGTTATTTTGAAGAAAAATTGGTAAACAATAAAATCTGATTTATTGGTTACAAATTGGTTATAAATCAGATTTTATTGTTTACCAATTTTTCTTCAAAATAACAAAAAATTATTTCATGTTAAGAGAAAAATGGAATTTCGGTCTACACAGTATTCGCTCAAATGATTTGAAATCAACCATCAGAATTAAAAGATAACTTCACAAGTAAGATGTGGTTTTACTAGGAATGTGAAACATTTGTCATAATCAGAGCTAGGATTTATTTGTTAGCGTTTTAGATTCAATCAAACTTGTATAACATGATTATGAATTACACTTTTTAAAGTAATTTGAAACCTGGCACAGTAGAACCAGTTAATTCAAACCCTGCAAATCTGAAATTTCAGATAATCTGAAAAAAATTCGGGATGGAGGAAAAACTAAACAAATAGGACCTGATTTGTATTAATTTAATTTATGAATGAAAAAGCATGAACACAGTGTAAGTCAACCCAATTCTGAATACCATTCATAGAATACCCATTAACAGCAGCGACACAAACTGTGTTTCAACTCTTTTAAACAATTAACTATTGCATGCAGTTATGTCCATACTGTACTCCATTTTCTGCATCATTGCCACTTCCTGATGTCGCTACACTATGCTGCCATTTTTTCACATTACACAATACAATGCCTTGTGTCTGGTAATCCTATAGATGTATTTGTGTATGTATGGTACATTTTTCAGATAATCCAACATTTCCAAATCCGAACAGACCACCCCACCAATTAATATGGAATACCGGGGTTCTACTGTATTTAATTATCCACATTTTTCCACATTTCCAGTTTCAATACACATTCTTCCACATTGAAGGAAAACACATTTCTTTATGTTTTACTTTCAATATACAATAAGGTAGTTTTTACAGAACACAATTAGATTTTGAAGTTTCATTAAGTGAGGATGAAAGAGACCCAATCATTCCGGCACATTTCTGCAGAAGTGGCCCCATATGCATTTAACTTCGTAAAAACAAATCAAGGAGGAAATGATATAAAAAAATACACAGCATGGACAAACGATAACCTTAAACAGCTCCCTGTGCTAGAGGAACAGATGGGCTGTGTGTACATAAGTGTGATTTCTGAGAACACAGCAGACCGACTCCTCAACAAACATGCTGTTGCATTCCAAGAATGTAGTGTTCCTAATCAACCATAACCAATATTAGGGGAACTAAATTTGATTCCTTTATGAAATGTGGCAACCAGTAGCAACAATAGATTTTCCTATTTTCCAATATTTCACCTGGTGGACCGTTCAGGGTCTTCTATTATTGATAACAAAGAAAATTTTGATATATTAAGTATTAAATTCAATTGTGTACTATTATCCACAACAATAAATTATTAAAATGGGAGTTTGATTTCATCCCATCATTTTTAAAGGGTTATCTCTAGTTAAGAGATAAAAAAGGCAGTTGCACTTTTGAACATTTAAAATAGAGCTTTGCAATCCATTGCTTTAAAATGGGCAAATTAAATGGCAAATTATCAGAAACGGAAGTTACTTTCAGTAACAATATAATGTCCAGTCTATTTTAGTACACGAATAATTGTCGTTCTACAGCTTATATTAAAATTAAGTTCTTTAACCATTTTATTTATTTACACTCTTGATTTATGCATTATTTTTGTTGATTTAATTTTTTTCCTTACAATTTTTAGTCCATATTTTTACTCTACATTTTGAACATTTTCAGTCTATACGTATGTATATACTATTTAGGTACATGTTATTAAACATAAATTCTAGCCCTGGTTATAACAACAATAGTTTGATTTTACTCACCAGAAACTCTTCTTCAATCTGAGTCACTACTACTTGAACATTGCTTCTTTGTATTTTTTTCTTCACCTTTCATCCTCTGAATAATATCTTTTGCAGGGTTAAACACTCCATCTGTTTGCGTATTGCATATATAACACCGCTGTGACTTGCGATAATGTGCCATTGCACATTTTTCACAAAAATAATGCTTGCACCTACAAGAAGAGCAAAATGAATATTAGAAATTATATAAGAAATCAAATTACATTTAGGGAAACATTTAAGTTTGTGATATAATAGGATTATGAATTTTTATTAGTTTTGGTAGAAAAACAACATCAGTAAGTAAATAGAGAAACACAATATTTGTGAATGTTATTTGTAAAATTTGTATGTGCACAAAAATAACTGAGAACATCTTACACTTACTTGGTCACAACAGGATCTTTGAACGACTCTCGACAAATAAAGCATTTAAAAGGCAGGTTACCCTCATCATCGGAAACTTCATATTGATCCGGATTTTCGTCTGCTTCCCCGTAAGTACCTTCCTGTATCTCTCGTTCTAGTTGCCAACCAAATTTGTAATCTGATCGGTCATGCAAAAATTTGCAAGAGTCTGGAAAACAAACAAATAATTGAAGATTTTTTGGATAAATGTAAAATTATAAGTTTTACACAAAATAATAGACAGTAAACCATATTTATCCGGAACACCTAACTCCTCAGATCAAGCGCAAACATTAGCAGTTAATTGCTCAGATATCATGTCAAAAATCTCTGCTTTGCACAATGCAAATGTTCAAAGTAGCACATTGATTAGCGTAGCATATACAATGAAACTCCTATTTTAGACCATTCTTTTATAGGGATTGGTTGAAGTGAAGAAATTGGAATAATGATTTTGGGCATGGATGTTATTCCAAAAACTAATGTAATTCAACATATACAATTGAATTAACGGCTTAAGGTAACATACTAAATTGTTGCAGCAACATAACATTAGGAATGTTTGCTCAAGTCATTCCATACAATCCATTAGAAAAAGATAAACTAAATGGAATAAATACTGAGAGCAGAAACAATTTGTCAAAAGTGGTATCGAGGCAATTGGAGAAATGTTTCAGACCACTCATCAAGTACTAATTAGGAAAAGACAAAATTGTGTGCATTACATAATGCAATGAAATAGTAGCAGACATGTATCATTATGTCATCCCGACATCAAAGAACATTCACCAAACTTTAAGGGCTGTACTAACAGTTGAAAGAAACTGCATTGTAGGAAACAAAACTGTTGAAAAATCCACCAAGTCAACATAAATGAAAAATATCATAGTTTAATAATATAATATTGGATAAATACATAATACTGAAGATTTTTTAAGTAAAAATTAATTACATAGTATGGTAATATGACCACAAGTTTCTAAATATTATTAACTTTAACACCAAAGCATCAGCATCTTATTGTAAGTAGTATCCCAACACAACACCTACCTCCAAAGCCACAGAAACCTGTTTCTTTGTAGTCTTTACAAATATCTGGCTGATAGTCCCATCTAACAGTGGCACGCAAATTTGTGGGAGCACGAATAGGTCCCTTCCTTACCTACAATAAACAATCATCATCATCATCATCATCATCATTGGCATTAATAACTACATTTTTAATCTTGTTAACGATGTAATTCTACATGATTAGTGCTAAACTTGTTCATGGAAATTGGGAAATTGCCTGTATGTATGCTGAAATAAATATCATCATAATCATCCCCTTCTTCCTCTTTACAAATATAATTATGAAGATTTATTCTTATTCGTTAAGGTAAAGTACAGCAGGAATCCACCACTGTGATCATCTTCCCAGGAAAGAAGAGAACAAAACATTGTAAGCCTTCTTGGCAATGAAGAAAGCCTCCCCTCTTACATTCAATCAAAATAACTATGGCACTCATCAATAGAGTTCGGAATTTTTCACTGGGTATTTAGATTAAGCTAATTTTAATTAGTATGACAAAGCACTTCCTCTAACGGCTTAAGTCACAAGGCAATGGCTCAATGTGTATGTATAATCAATTCCTATTCCTTCACTAGGTTACTGTAGAGGGAAAAGATAACAGAGAAGAAAATTGTGTTAGCCATTACATCATCAGACCCTCCCCAACAAAAAATAATGTTAATAGTTAAGACCTTACCATCCCACTGGAAGCATTTCCTTGTGCTGTGTCCTTCTTTTCATAGAACTGTGTATAGTTATTCAGACCTCGATACACTTTGTCATCTTCTTTACCTTTTCGTTCCTAAAATCATAAAACACAGTTTACAAACTTGAGGCAAACATAGTAAAATCTCCAAGTTTGAATAAACTTATTTAGGAAGTGTTCTTTTCAATTATAATTCATGGTTAGCTGTGTGTCTAATAATAATGCTACTAAAGTTAAGGCAAAACTAAAAAAAAATTGAACGGCAATTATTTTTTAAAAATTTTATTTATGAAATAGCTTGGATGTATTGATCAAACAAAATCATTTTATTCATATCACATAACAGAATTTCTACCTTATTAATTTGAAGAGACTTTTCAAATATTGCTTGAGCATCCTTATCAGTCTCTGTCTCAATTTGAACCTCTGCTGTGGCACCCATATCTCTAGGACCTTCTGGTTCAGCATTGCGTTTTGATCGGTAAGTCACGCCAACTGAGTATATATCTTCATCACTCCCATCAGATGCAACGATTTTGCTCATCTTCTTGGCTGTGTGGGTCTGTGAATTAAACATTTAAACAATAGATAAACCAAATCAATTCAAGACATAGTGAAGACAATTCAAGACAATGTGAAAGTCGTAAGCTGTAGATTGAAAACTGTATGAACTGCAAATAAAACAAGTAATTTTAACAGAAGTCATAAATGTGTATTGCTTCGCAAAGCACTGATTACTAATACATACACAAAATATCATCACAGCAAGTATATCCTTTGAACACATCACACACAGTTTTTACTTACTTTTTTATTTACAGAAATTACCTCACACAAGAAATATCTAATATACAATAATGATTTTCAACTCACAGATTGATAATTCGGATTATTTTCGTGAGATTTCTTGGCTCTTCGCACGATTGACGATCCATCGTCACTCCCTTCAGAGCCTGCAATAAACAAAATATTATTAAAAATTGTTTTAAACTATGTATATATTAAAAGTTGTTTAGAGGTTATGTTTAAGACTGACAATAAGGCTTAAGAACTCACTCTCATCTTCGCTCACTTTCCGTTTCCTTGTGCCTTGTTTTCTAATGTTTCGCTTTTTGAAACCAAAACCAGATGGTTTCTTTGCTTCTTCTGCAGTGCAATCAGACATAATTCACGTAGAAAAAACAAACACACAACTTAAACACCAAGGGAATCGAATATTGTGTTTGCGATGTTGGCTGCCTTGTAGGTATTCATATCGTGATGTTGGCCACATAACAATAGAATAGAAGTATAATATCAAATGCCAAATCCACGCGCGCGAAACTTTTAATTCAAACTACCAGTTACATCTATCAATTAGATTCAAACTACCAACAACTATTGTAGTTGGTCTGCATACCTACACAGAGGCTTGCATATGATTTCACCCCATGATACCAGTATACTTAATGATGATATCAAAATATATTTCGACTAATCGATAACGGATTTCAAATAAAAAAATATAAAAACATTTGACAGTACAAGTTTATAATGAATATTAAAAAACTATAAATTTGATCTGAATTATTAAAATAAAAATTTATTCAGCCAGTATTCTTACACATTAGTAAGTTTTAGTATTCAAAATGGTCAAGTGGAACAGATTCAGAAAAGTATTCAAGGAATAAAAAAAAAGTTCTTGAAATACTGTATACTATAAAAACCATTAATTTAATTCTAAATATACCACATTTTTAATAAACACATCAACTTATAATATATCTTAATTTATTAAAGCAGCATATATTATAACAGCAAATATATGTAATAAAATAAATGAAAATTAAAAAAAACATAAATATTTATATGAACTTTTCATGTGTACAAAAATTAAGTTTGTACAGAACATATTGGCTCCTCAGAGTTGTTTGTGGCAGTCTTCAAGAAAAATAAGAAAATATGTTATATTTTAACACATGGCTCTTGAGACAATTATGAAATCACAAGTACAAATCAGGAACCCTATGATAATAACAAAGCAATTAGAAAGTAAAATGTTTACATTTGACATAGTTCAAAAGAAAAGAAGCACTCAATCATGTCAGAAATATCTGTAAAACACACAACTATCAAAATTGTTTGGTCATTATTAACTTAATCATACATATTTTTACATCCAATTAGTGAACACACATTTTAACATGAGAAAAGTCTATAGTTATGATTACATTTACACAATATAATATTATATGCTATCTATGAGTAAACATGACCTAGTCATTGGAAGGTGACAAGAGATGCCAACCGAAAAATTTGAGCTTTTTCATGAAACTGGAAAGCACAAGATTAAATACATCAAAATTCCCTTTTGAAGAATTTTTAATTAAGGAGAGGAGCGAACATTGATTTCACGAATGAATAACATGGGACAAACATAAATTTACTGGTTAATTTGTTTCATTCTGTTTTCTTTTAGAGGTGTACTGCACAGAGACTTCAAATGTTTTTATTCCATACTAACATAAAGTTGGGAGGATCAGGAATCATTTTTCTTCAGTTATCTAGTAGCATATGAAGGTAAATGTTTTTTTTAAGTCTATGCTAAAGTCTATAGCTTCAGTTGGCGTCATCCAGGGCAAAACTAATGGCATCTCTAACTTCGTATAAATTAAATACAAAAATATCTATTGCTGAATAGTTTGTACATTATTAAAATCAATAAAAGTATATTTGTATGTGACATTTATTTACAATGTATTAAAAAACTGTATGTAATTCAGAATAATTGAAATATTATTTTTTTTAAAATAATTATTTAATTCTAACTATACAATTTTTTAATGGTGATACCCCTAAAATGGACACACCTCCTTTCCCCCTCCTCTAACTACTCCGCTGAGGCCACCATTTACATTTTTAGAAAGATGGTACTTGTCTCCCATGTGTCGCGCACAGTTGTTTTCTTACTAAATAAAATAAATCAAATCAATGGGTGGCAATACACATAGCCTTTTCCATTCAGTGCCTTACTTCGCTTCGTTATCGTCTTTATGGGTATGACGTCCGTGAGGACATCGACATACTAGGGATGATGGTGTTATCGAATGTTCACAGATGGCGCTGACTTGAGGTTCAAACTCAAAGCTAAGGAACCACTTGCAGAAACCCAATTTGGATACCGTAATAGTAGTTTATGCAATTAGTTTATAATGTTAACCTTTATTGCATGAGTACATGTTTTGAAAACGAGCGACTTCAGGAGCGAGTTTTCAAATTTGTACGAATGTAATAAAGCAACATTATAAATGAATTGCATACTATATTTTTTGTATAACAGCATTATATATTTATAAGAGAATCAAACTTAATTTTGTGAAACAACTTCCCTGTGACCACTCGGGTATTTGACATCGTGCGAATAAACGGTGGTCGGCTGTTCCATTTAGCTAAATCTCCTCCCGATTCTCTCGCTACGATTGGCTGAAAGTGTGATGACGCAATCATTCGTGACAAGATCTAATGCCCGCGGTGTAAAATGCCCGATTATGAACGATTTCTTGCAACAGAAAAGGTTATTTTATAATGCTGGAATACAAAAAAAGTAAATTAAACCATACACAAATAGAATTCTGAATTCAGAAAGATATGAGCATATTTATATTACATTAATATTGTAATAGTTAAATGTAAATTACCAATAGTTGTTTGAGGAAAACGTGGTGAGTTGTTAGATATAGATGTCTATTATTGTGGAACAATAATGGAACCGGCTGAATTTAACTCAGATCCACCATTTTGATCTCGGTTGGGCTCTGAGTTTCACTCAGATGCAACAGCTTTGCAACTGCTTTTCTGCTTAAGTAAATGGAGATAGTACCTTTCCAAAATCGAATAATAATAGAAACAATAATAATAATAATAATAATAATAATAATAATAATAATAATAATAATTTTATCATTAATAATAGCTTGATTTATAAAATTGTAGTCCCGGAAAGCGCCCCAAATTAAATATTAATTAAGTAGAAACAATTACAAATTAATAGTATAACGTTTAATATGGTCTAAGTGAATGTTATGGTAATAGTAATATGAAATTCAAAATTAGAGTTTATAGCTACATTTTTTGTTTTTCTTTAATTTTTATTATGTTTGTATAAGGGATACAGTTGGAATAGTGGAAAATTATTTAATTTTTAGTTCCCTAAAGTTGGTCTATAAGACGAATTTGTCAAATGTTTGCTCTTTGGTTTTTGTTTGTTCGTGTTTTTTTTCTCGCGGTATCTATGTGCCATTCCGTAGCATTTCGCCAGAAATCAAGCCCTGGCAATAACAGTAATAATAATCGACCATTGTAGCATCACGACCATTGATGACAAATGAAATACAATTTGTTCACGGGATTGGTCAATTAGAGAAACAATTATTTTCATTTCTTCATCAATTCATTTCAACACAGGTAACGTGTCATTTCAGGTCACCACACCCAACTCCACATGGAGTTGCTGGAGCACGTGGGTCCATCGCACGACATGTGTGGATCGGGCAAAGGCCCAACTGTAAACCGTATTTTATTTCAGTAATAATAATAATAATAATAATAATAATAATAATAACAATAATAATGATAATAATAATGATGATGATGATGATGATAATAATAATAATAATAATAATAATAATAATAATGATGATGATGATGATGATGATGATGATGATGATGATGATGATGATCAGCATGGAATGTTCCCGCAAATTTAATGGGTAAGCGTGTCCATTGAACCTGTCGAAAAGGCGAATTTTTACTTCGCTCACTCCGTAACGAGCCCTTGAGCGTCTTCCTTCTTCACCGCGTCATCCCGGGACAAAACGCGCAAATCGGGAATGAGCGATCACCTGCCACCCTCCCTGTTCCCGAAGCAGCTTTCGCAGAGAGACCTGTCCGTCTTCTTGAAGGAGGAGGAGGAGGAGCAGATTTCGAAAACCGCGAAAAGCTGCGAAGCATGCAAGAACGGGCGGCCATCAAAGAAAGGCGTCAGGTCCACCGCGCGGCCAGCACAATGGACAACGGTTCCATTGGAAGAGTTCGGGCAGCGCGGGCGGGCGGATTGCGTTGCGAGAGGGCCAAGCGGCCGTGGGTGGGGCCGAGGGAAGGCTTGCAGAATTTTCGCCCATTGTGGCGCGTGTTCGTGGGAAGGGGCCGTGCAAATGGTCAGTCTGTTTTGTGTTGGGGACTGCGTGACGTTTCCTGCTGCTGATAAAGGGCCTTTCGCCTACGTGTAACTGTGCTCTTGCCTCGGGAGAGGGGGGGGGGCAGCTGGGGCTGCTTGCCTCAGGTCCAGACTTACCCCAACATGCAAAGATTTTAAATATTGTTTAATAACTTTTTTATATATTTATTGAATAAATATGTCTACCATGAAAACAAAAACCTTAAGGTTAAAAATTTTGAAAATTAATTTCCTGAGATAACGCCATTTTGTGAACAAAAATAGGCACTGAGCTGTGATAACTTCTGAACTAACTATCTCTGTTCTTCAATTATTTTTTCTCATGATAACAGATGATTTGAACTATGCCTGAGCCAAAACAATATTTGTACCATTAATATGTACATATTTTAAAAAAAATTATCAAAAATAAATAAATATATAAATAAATAAATAAAATTTTAAACATCAAATTTTCTTCGTGAAAAGATTGGTTCAAACGTTTAGTGTAGGTTCATGCAATATATTCGCACTATATATTGCTGAATTTAAAAAAAGAATCAGAGGGTTATCTTACATAGAATTGGACTTACGATGTTTCAGGTTTCCAATGACAGCCAACTTTCGAGAAAATGGCTTTAATTGCGGTCCTGACATATTTTTCATTCGAAACATACTTACCAATATATATTTGAATCGCTTCGAGCAGAACGGGCTTAGATCATAAATTTCGGGAAATGATTTTTTGATGAAAATCATACCTTTATGAGTTTATGTTTCCATCATTCTGATTAGAAAGGTATTCAGTCTAGTGCTTAGAAAGGTAAATACCCTGGCCCTATGCACGCCTCGAACACTCAGTCTTCGCCTCCGCGTAATCAGACATTGATAAGACAGGAATTGTTACATTCTCGCTACCGCTAACGCAGTAGAGAGAAAGTTATGTAATGCGTAAAAAAATGGCGAATTTTCGACAGAAAACTCTTTTTACAGGTCCTTGGTAATAAAAAAAGTGGATAAATTCAGTTGCTAAGTTTAGAAAAAAATCATCTAA